CCCCCCAGCCTGCTCGCTGGTGGGGTGGGGTGAGGAGCAGAAAAGGCCTTGACTCTGTGTCAGCACTGCTCAGCAGTGACGAAAACATCCCTGTGTCATGACCACTGTTTCCAGCACAAATCCAACACACAGCCCCATACCAGCTACTGGGAAGAAAATTAACTACCCCAGACAAAACCAGCACAGTCTGTGACTGTGTTTCCTATATGTAAAATCTCATTAACTACTACTTTTTTTCTTGCTTGCAGTACACTTTTCCGGAATTCGAACATTGAGAGTATGTTTTCTATCTGTGTGAAGTTAGGTCATTGTAGGCAAACAGACTGCTCAAATTGGGAATGCTTCTACTCATTTTTTTCTTTGCTTGCTTTGCTCCCTGTATATTTTTTTATGGCAAAGCTAAGCTTTTAGTACTGGCTTTAGTCCTTTATTGAGAATAGAGCTTGTACTGAGAGGAGCTGGATTCTGTTTTCTCAGTGAGTACGGCACTGTCATTAATAATTAGGCAAGTCAAAGCTGTAGAATTTTAATTACAGGTGATGATACAGAGAATGAAGGTGGGTAGGGTTTTTTTTTTCAGACTGAAAAGTGAAAATGATAGATTGGAAGGTATTTCTTTTTAAATAATTGACTTATGTATATCAAAATAAAGTAATGCAAAAGTCTATTTTAAAATACAACTGGACTGCCTATCTTTAACCAAGCTACAGAAATTGATTTTAAAATGCCTGTAGTTTTCAGAGATCATGATGCTATGCTAGTACACTAAACAATGCCAGATCCGACCTCGATGCCAGCAGTTGAGCGAAGCCGTCTGCCCCTTTCATTGCTAGCACGTTCCCTGCAATGATTTTGCTCTATACTAGCTCAACCAGACGGTTCCCCAGGCAGAGTCTGGCTGGCCAGAGACTGCTCCCAGCAGAGAGCTTGGAAGAAGCAGTGCTGTTCTCCATGGATGCAAGGTGTTGTGTACCAAATGTCTTGGGAATGGGTCCTGGCATTTTTCTGTATTAGAGTAAAGGCATCTTCCGTTTCCAGGCCCCCAACATTATAGGACTGTATTGCTTTAATTTCATCCTGACTCTTCCAAACCAGTGAAAGCTATTTTTAGTTTTCAGTTTAAATTTTTTTCTAGAATATCCTTTCTTATTTGAAAACTCCCTCCACCCACCAAATAATGTCGCTCTTCAAAAGAAACAACAAAACAATTCATCAAGAGTCTTTAATCTTAGCACAAATATTCTTTTAGTACTTGAACTATGATTCCCTTTCTTGCTCTCTTACCAATCTTGTTTCCTGCAGTTATTCACCTGCAGAAGGTATGTTATATATTGGGAACATTTCCTTTTCTTGATCAACGTTTGTTGGTTTAGGTGGTTTAATTAACTGGCTTTCATCAAACAATACTCTTGCCTGTATTCTTCTCAAAGTTATAACAATCATTCATATTGTATTACATAATACCAAAGTAAGAAATTCAATTTCATGAGAAGTCAAGGAACTTTACTTCTTTACTAATGAAATTTAGACAGAAAAGATTTTCAGAATGAAAAACTAGGTTTATGTTCAAGACTGTCTCTCATTTTTCCAAATTATTTTCTCTCGAGCAATGAATAATATTTTGCTGAAGCTTTCTTTGGCTTTTAGTCAAGTACTATAAATGAATTCATTAATTGGAATTATTTTTGGGCAGCAGTAGTGGGTGTGTGTTTAAAGTCTTATGGTGATGCAGGATATCTTGAGCTTCAGGTGTATGCCATCTTTTCATTAGCAGTTCTAACCTAGGAGGTAGTTTGGCTTAAAAGAAACAAACAAAACAAAAAAAACCCAGCCTATAGTGATCACCCATTACCTATAAGCCAGTCTACTACTGTTGGTAAGATTGCATTCTGTGCTGTCTGAATGAGAAGCCGCCTTCTTGGTATTATTAAAAGAAACATTCTCACAATAGAAATTGTCAACTTTATTGCAGAGGTTTACTTGAGTCATTTAGGTCAATATTTTTTATTCTGCTTGGTTATAATAGGTCATAAGAGAAAAATTTGTTTTCATGGGAAAGATTAGATTGAGATATTTAGTAGAAAACTGAGACCCTTTCCCAGCCTGTAGTTAGCACCAATGCAGTATGCTGCAAAGACGAACATTCCTCTTCCATTTTTCTCACTCGAGCGCCAGTGGGACTGTTGTAGAAGACAAACAGGAATTGTGTCTAAACAGTAAACAATGCTGAGCCTGAGGGCCATGAGCACCGTTGCATCTTACACAAGTAAAAGCACGGAGACACTATTTACTTAACATAAGCATTATGTAGGTTTTGTATATATAGCTAACCCCTGGATCTACTTTTTGGCAAAAGCAGAGAGTGTGGGAGGAGAACAGCAACAAGGAAGGACAGGAGCTATGATAGTGAAATTATTCAAGTTTGTTTGGTTCTTAACAGTAAACTATTTTATGTGTATTAGTTAAGTAGGGGCCAACTTTAGGAAGTGATGTTGCAATATATAAAACAGTATTAGTGTAAATGTTAGATAAACTACCCTGAACATGTTGCCAGTAAAGACTAACTAACAATCATGAAAATATTTTCAACATTTAGCACTGGAAAAGTATGCATAGCTAGTTAAAGTTTAGTGTGGAGACTTAGGCTGTAGTTTAACCCTTTTCAGCATTTATTATAGGCAATGTATCTTATCTGGGCTTTGAAACTTGTTAATTAGCTTGTGCCTTGGAAATATGTCAGCTAATACCTGTTGTCACCCTACAAAGATCTGTAAGTTTGTGGTGTAGTATAGTGCATGCTGGTAAAAGCTAAGAGGTTCTGATATTTAAGCGTATGCTTCATTGTAAGCAGTGGTTGCACTGGCTCTAGGGAGCCTCTATTTACATGTTTAATTTAGCAGTGTTCTTGGTTAGAAACACATTTGTTTGAGAAACAGTGAAAATATTACTTGTGGGTTGCATATTTTCTTTCTGTTTCATTTTCAGTAGACATGGATAACAACTGTGAAAGGAATGAAGAAATAGGACCCATTATTTACTTTCTGTGAAAACCTTCGGTATTGAATCTCAAATAATGGTGTCTTTCATCCATGTGAAGATTAAACCTTCCTAAAACATACAGAAAGTAATAATCAGGGAATTTACCATAATAGCATCAGCCTCAGTCACCACATTATTATTTAATATATTTCAGTTGAAATGTGTGCTGTTCTGGATATCATTATCTTGAAAATTCAAAGTAATTAAAGATTTTATTTTTAAAGCAGGCATACCAAATAAAAGCATGCTACAGGATGTTGATAGCTGGAATAAAAATGTCTATTTATCTTCTGAGTGCATTAATAGCAAGGGAAGGGAGGATTTTAGCTTAAGGAAGGATCTGGTTGTCTTGACATTTGAGCTTCAAGTAGATAACTGTCAAAGCAGAGAGGGGATTGTTTTTTAAGTGTAGATAGTGCACCTCTTATGAATTTATATGATAATATAAGTGTGAACCAGGTGTGAAATTGTAGGTTATGCAGTAATGATGGAAGTTAAAATCGTAGGTAAATGAACCTGGACAGAGCCTACTTTACTTACCTTCAGCAGAGGAGCCAGTGGAAACCTAGACGGGTTATCCAGTTTCGGGTTGTGAGGTGTTAGGAATTCTCCCTGTTTTCCTTTCAGGCTGCAGCTACTCTTTTTCACTTTGAGAGGTTTAGTCTGAACCAGGGCCACACCTGTTCCACGGGTAGAGCAGTAAGCTGGTGTGTTACTGCTTTTTGTGCATGGGTTTGCTCCAGATGGATGGTTTCTTGCCTCACTGAACAGACATCAGGCTGTCCATCAGTCTTTCTGCACGTTGTCTTCAGGGAGTCTCCAGCAGAACGTGTAAGGATTTATTGCCTGGAGGTCTGTGGTAGCAGAATGACTAGTACCTTGCAAAAAAAAGTACAGTGCTTAATCACAGCAATAAGCTTCTCTCAAGGGTTTATCCTAACGAACATTGAAAATTATTTAATTCTTTTTTGTTCTGGGTGTGTATTACTGTCCATACTGTAGACCAAGAGTCTGAACAAAGCCATGCAGTAAGCAGAACACTCAAGCTCCTTTCCTTTTGCCACATGCACACCTTCCTCAGTTATTCTGTAGGTGACAAAGACTAACTTCAGGTAGGTGAAACTGGGCTCTATAGACTACCTCTCTAGTTACTGTAGAGTCTACAAGGAGGAATGAGGAGACCATAAGTATATTTCTGGTTTATAACTGCCCATCTTTGTCTCCACTGACTACAAAGAGATGTCCAGGGAAGCTTATCTTTCTAGTTTAAATTTGGTCTTTTTGAATTTTCCTTTATGTCATCTGTTTGTTTTGACAGCAACTGCTGTCAAATCTGAGCCCTTCTTAGCAGCATAGAGATTTTAATAAAAATAAACAAAAAATATTTTAAGAATTGACTTGTAATACTTCATATTCAAGTTCTTTTCAACTTTGGTCTTTTTCCTTTTGGCAGCACCAGAACGAAGGGATTCACTTCTGTATAGCCCAGATGTCATTGATACCACTCCAAGAAGAAAGCGAAGACAAAGGACAGCAAAGCCTGCTGGGACAGGAGCTAAGATGGCTACTTATGAGACAGAACTGCCAGCCAAGGAAAAGTAAGCAGTTTTCAAATGTATTAAAATGTTTTTATATCTACCGATGTCAGAGGGTTTGTGGTTTGGGTTTTTTTGTGTTTTCTTGTGCAGTTTCATATTTCAGACCAAGCACTGTTGTGTTACATTCTGTATAGTCATTTACAGTAATTTTACCGAACTTTGAATAGATGTGAATGATTAAATTGTCAGGCCCAATGACTTATTGATTTTAATACACCTCTAAAGGGACAATTGTAAAATTCCTTTCTTTAATTGACTTGGATAACTTTGAGCAAATAGATTGAAGCCTACTAAACCTATGTTCTGTAGGTTACTGTATAACCCTGCAGGCAAAGAAGGATGCGTTTATAGCAAGTGCCAAACTAAGATGGACAGCTTCAGCTATGTTGTGTCACAGAAAGTAGTAGCATTATGAGTGTCTTTTTTCGCAGTGAGGATGGTCAAACACAGGAACAGGTTGCCCAGAGAGATTGTGGAGTCTCCATCTGTGGAAATATTCAAAACCTGACTGGGCACGGTCCTGGACAACCTGCTCTGGTTGAGGAGGGAGGTTGGGCTAGGCAATATCCAGAGGTGCCTTCCAACCTCACCATCCTGTGATTCTCTCTTTGTAATTTCAGTGGAAATTAATTCACAATACCATTTTTAATAGACCAGAATAGATTTCTTTTGAAAATAAGATCAGTGGGGAGAAAAAAGTATTCAGTCTTAAACACAAGGGGGTCAGAATTTATAACACTTAATAAAAGTCTTTTTCTTCTTATGTCACTCTTGACTTTTGGAAATATTTTGACATGATCTGGGACGTGCTTAGTTATGCATAGAATTACCTTGGAGCTGCAATATGATTGCTGGCATTTTCTTCAAAAACTGGTATTTTTTTTAAGATCTATGGTAAGTTAGATTTAAAAATACTTATTTTCCCTTTTTATCTGTAATATCCACGGATAATAAACTGTTAAACAGACATGGACACAAGCAGACTACAAAGACATTTCCCATGATTAACAAAGATTTCTGTTTAAATCAGCAAGAGAATTATCTTATTTTGACATAGAAGGTCGTGGCTTGATGCCAGTTAGGAATGTTTAAACTTACAATCCTGTTTTATTAGTAAAAAACCAGGTATTTTTTAGAACAGTCTAGAAAAATGTCAAATTCTGCTCTTCTGTTCTTTTAGAGTCTAGTATATTACAATGAACAATGCCCTTTCCCCATTGTATGTAGTCAGTTCGATTTTGAGTGCCTGGCTATGTTTGCCTGACATAGAATTTCATACTTTTTAGTATTGATTGTGGAAGGAAAACCTACAGAGGCAAATGATTGCAAAGGAGAATATAGAGGCCTTGGGCTGAGTAATCCTCAGTGTATGAATATCTGAGTCCTGTGTGTAGGGGAAGGACTAAGAGGATATTGATATTTTTGTTTTAATTCCTTTAAGTAAGGCAAATTTTAGAAAAAACAGAGCAACGTTATGTTTTTCATACTGTGCAAAACATTTCTAATACGCTTCACAGAATTGAGTCAGAGCTGAATCTGAAGAGTGGCTCTTCTTGGCCATAACATAGTTAGTCATATTTTAAAGCTTACCATATGGAACATCCATCCTATCAGTCTTTACCCCCGTTTTTCTTTTTGCATTATGTATGTATGAATTGCATGGTAAACAACAGCTTTGCACTACAGGTCACAACATTGCTTGGCATGTGACATGCCTTCCAGTACTGTGAAGGTGTATCTGACAGTGAAAGATCTGTGTTTCTGTATGATCACGTGGTGACTTCAGAAATCAAATGTGATATTGGACATTTGGCTCGATACTGGAATATGTTTTTTAATCCTTTCTTTAGTTAAAAATACAGTGGCAGTGCTAATTCTTTGGTTAGATAAGAAGTTATTAGATCTCCCCATTTACCTGGAACGTTACAAAAGCCGAACTGTATGCTGATTATTTTTCTCAGTGTCCGTGCTTAGTTCTTGGGTTTTGAACTTCATCTTAAGTCTTTTGCCAGTTGCTAATCAAGCTTTCAGTCAATTTGCTTGGCTAATAATTTTCACTTCTTTTTAGCCTCTCAAAAGTAGGGAGGTGCAGAATCAGTATCATAATCCAGTTCACAAATATAGTTGTTTCTTTTTATGAAGCCTCTTCAGTAATTTGTACTGACAGAATGCTAGATCCTACACGGTGCAAAAGTCTTTATCTTAAGCTGATGGTACATTGGGGTCCTGCCCAAAATGTTTTCCAGTATTGTGTCACTTAGCAAAAAATTACTAATCCTGCTGGGGAGGTGGGGAGGAAGTTAACCTCTAAATTCCTTCACCTTTGGAAATGCTCCATCACAAATATGGAAGATGTACAGCCCTTGAAAGCATGTCATGCTTTTCTGTTTGGCAGGAGGATCAAATGACAGATTGTGATCACATTTGCAAATGCACGAGTGAATCCTTATTTCTGAGCTCTCCTGCACAGACCTGCAGAAAGATTTGATTCTTTACTTGTAATGTAACTACTTTAAGGTGCTATCACATAAAATCATATCCCACAGTTCTTGTTTTAACAAACTAAAGCTTATTTAGAATTATTTTCTATTTGCAATTTTTGCTGACATCATCAGTGTTTGTTTCATGTTTGCCAGGCAATGAAAGGGCGGTGACAAACCAAACATTAAGAGCATAATGCTGTCTTTATATTGTTGCATCATAAGTCGATTGATACAAGATCCTAAATCAGAAGAAAAAATACCTCTTAACTGAAGGAGAACATCCAAGTTTTTCTTTTCTTTTTGGCTTTCAGATTGTTTTTTGAAAATACAGTGTTTTTCAACACAGTCATCGTTATCACATAAGAGGAATTGTATCTTAACTTTTATATATTTCTCCTAAGATTTTAAAGTATGGTAAGAAAGTGCCACTTATGCTTAGATTTAAGAGCATCTAAAGTAAATACTGAGTCATGAAAAATAAAAGGATTCTGTTTTCGCAAATATTTTAGATTTATGGATGTTGAGGCTAGTTATGTAGCAATTCTCTAGTCCTTTGGAATGAAAATATATTCTTAGATATGACCAAGAATACTGAGAAGAATGCAAATAAAAATCTGTTTAACATAGAAATCAGAGCAAAAGCATTACTGCCTTTCTCATGCTTTCTGTGTGGGTGCAGTAGCAGGAAAAGGGGTTGAATTGTATTTATCTATATAGACATCTAGTATTATTGTGACAATTTATTCAAGGACTAAATCAACATTTTTAATGAAACCTGGAAATGTGCTTTGGATAATATTAAGCTTAGTGAAAGTATAGACATGAGATCAGCAAAGAACTGAACTAAGATTTGTGGAACAAGGTTTGCTAAATGAACTGTTTACTTATTTGCTGAGACAAAGATGTTCTTTAGGATAAAGCAGAAATTCAGAATAATTAGTTGGTCAGTGAACTGCCAAGATTCAGGTTTATCCAGCTCTCTAGCAGGGTGTTTTTCAAATCTGAGATATCCAATGAAAGGAACTGCTTCTTTAGGCAAACAGATGTTACTTATTGTTGATAACAGTCAAACTCTGGCTCACAATTTACACATTTTTAAAATGTGACAAAGGATGGTTCTTACAGTTCAAAACATGATTGAGTCAGGAAGTAAAATAAAATTATTCTGATTCCAGTAAACTGTGATGGTATTGGTGAAGCTTTAACTGTAAGTTAATATCTGGCAATTTCCTAAGGTGCAAAGCAGAGATAATATGTAAGTCAAGTTAAGATGCAAATTCTACTTTTCACAATTTGCATTTCATACTTAGAGGAGAAAAATTAATAAGACCTATCCCAATCCACAGATAGAAATTATGCTTATTGATGCATTACCCAAATCTCTCAGGGGACTGCATATGAATAACACTATTAGCTATGTAGAATATGCATTCAATATAGAGGCTTAAGTGTATGGCCTGTCAGCCTGAATCCTATAAATAATTGGATGTTTCTATAACAATTTCACTTTAAAAGTATTGGAACCTATTTGAAAGAAGATAGTACCTACTGAAGATGACAAATTTTTTTTATATAATTTTATAAATTAAGCATAGTCATTGAATGCACAATACTTTGTGTAGCTTATACAGTCTACAGCCACAGAGTACAGTGGACCCCAACCAGTGCTGGAGTCTCTGTAACTAAAACAAAAGTAAATCAGGAAAAAGCTTCCTTTTCTAGTACAGCTTACAACTATTACTTTGTTTCCACAAGTAAAAATATATCTTTCTGCTTTGGTTTATCAAAATTGTTTTTATTTAAAGAGGTAAGAAAAGCAAAACCTTTTTTTCTGTCTGTCTGTTATTTCTTACTAATAAAGTGTCTAGTTTTATGGTCCTCATTCACACATGGGTTTCCTAGGAGGCAGGCTTTACTGGATAAGACTCAAAATTTCTTTAAGTCATTCTGTATGTTTCAAAATGTAATCCATTCTGCCTGCTGTATAGTGCTTATAATTTCTTTGCTATTGAATGTGTGCATACTGTTGAGGATATGTACAATTACAGAAGTGGTTTGGGGGAAAGCATCTTAAATACAGGAAAAACCTTATTATGGATGCAAATATGCTGGATTCTCCTGAGAATAAGAGTAGACACAACCAAAAAATGTTATTACAGAGAAAATGCTTCTTAATTCTGAGAAGCAAGTGTTAAGAAACACTTTTAATTCAGTTGACTGAGAAATAACAGGTATTATTTGCTTGCCTTTTCTATAAAGAAATACATGTTTACACCAAGCACTGTGACTCTGACTTATTAGTTATTCTGCATGTCAAAAATTTCAGTTTCATATGTATAAGTCTAGTTTTGTACATTTGATGTAGCTGTTACTGTCTTTTTTTTTAATTTGAATTTGACTTTTGCTGGCTTGATACTTCTTGCTTGATTGATAAAACTGGGTTACTGTCAGAATCAGGCCTACATTTAAATTGGAGGAAAGATGCTTTCCCTTAACTTCAGTATGCTTGGTTTTGCT